CGAGAGCTTTCCAAAACACTATAATAAAGTATTTTTTTATTGAGTACTTTTTGAGTTATTTTATATTTTAATCTGATATATTTTGATATAAAAAATAAAATATCTCGTTAAATATTTAGTTTTCGATAATCTTACCGTAATACTTTTATGTACAGAATAATGAGACAAATCAATTAGTGTAAAGAAAAAAACAAATAGTTGTTTTAAAAAATACATTGTAAATAATTACATACTTTTTTCTTAAAAACTTTTTTTGCTTTTTTGCTAATTGATTTGTCTCATTATTCTGTACATAAAAGTATTACGATAAGATTATCGAAAACTAAATATTTTACGAAATTTTTATATTTTTATATCAAAATATGTCAGAATAAAATATAAAATAACCCAAAAAGTATTAATGAAAAAATACTTTATCATAGTGTTTTCAAAAGCTCTCGAGAAAGAATATGTAATAAAAAATGGGGAGTTCTATTTAAGAAAACATCGACCACATTGACCTCACCTTGAAAAGACCACTTACGGTCAAATCCATATTTTTATCATGTGACCCCCTCAAAACCATGCAACTTTTGTCTGAAATATTTTTTGATATCTCACTTCGTTTCCGAAAAATATGCCCGCGTCACTATAAATGCCCCACCCTGTATATCATATATATATGTATATTATGTCGCATCATATTAGAGAAAAATCAGAAATATCATGTTATATTTTTATAGAGTAAAAAGAAATTATTAATTTTATTAATAATAATTTATTTCAGATAAATGAATGTGTGACAAATGCAATAAGACAATATATTTCGCTTATATATCACAAAATACAACAGCGTTCAGATCAAATCACAAATCAGAAATATCGTTTTCGGCATCTTCTGTCTATTTAAAAAAATAAAGAATAATTAAACTTGAATTATCAACTTAAATCTATGAATGATAAAAATTGTGCTATTTCATTCTTGATGATAAAGGTTTAAAATAATTTATACACGAATTCTTGTGAAACTTACCTACTATGTATAAATTTCGTTGTAAGATAAACTGATCAAAAAGATTGCCATATTATCTTTAAAGATATAATAATACAAAAAGTATCTATTGATAAATGTGAAATTCATTATACTTATTTTTATGTATATAATTTGTAAGTTCAGAAATCAATATAATTTTTTTTTTCTTTTGAAAAGATTAATCAATTTTATATTATAATCAAAAAAACAAAAAATTAACAAAGTTTCCTTTAAATAAAATATATTTTTGTCTTAAAAAATTCATAATTGTATATATATTTTAT